TTCACAACTGGACCAAAAAGCAATATCACAATAAATCAGAAAAGATTGAAGTTGTCAGGAATTTCATTTTACTTGGGCCCACAATCAATATCCATGGAAGCAGCAGTCAAGAAATCAGATGGCGGATTGTACTGGGCAAATCTGCTACAAAAGATGTCTTTAAAGTGTTAAAGAGCAAAGATGTCACTTTGAAAAGGCTTGCCTGACCCAAAGATGTCATTTTGAAGACTAAAGTGCACCTAAACCAAGTACAGAAAGTTATAGAGGCAGTAGCCTCTGACCTCCTCCAACCTTACAAGGCAGAAACAGTATCACCATCAGCAGCCCAAAGTTGATTCCTATGAGACCAGCATGCCGCCACTCTCCAAACTTTTTTCCAATTCTGATAGTAGCCATCCCTCCCACGACTCTCACTACATCTCTGCTGGGTTCAATAATTCAGTGCAATGGCCCCACAGAACTCTCAGACAATACTCGCGATTATTGCGTTTATTAGGGAAGTAACAGATTACAATCCAGGTTCAGGGAGGTTTAGGATACAATTCTTCAATCAGGACAGACCACCCCTCAGCCTTGCTCTTAGGCATGTCTCTCTTTGGCCCTTGGCCTCTTGGCCTGCTTGGGCAAGTGTTACAAAGCTCTTTTAGTTCTGCTGATAGGGACACATAGATGCCCCCACTCTGCTAGCAAGCTTCCTGTCCAAAGGTAGTCAGCTTTCTTTCTTCATGGGCCGGCAAGTCCACTGCTCTGTCTCATGCCAGTCTCTCAGTTCTGCTGACACTGCTGCCACCGACTCTCTGCTGACTCTCTCCTGATTCTCTGCCTTGGAGGTCCAGCGTATGTATCTCGGGTCCAAGAATCTTCTCCACTCCACCTCCAGCTCTTCTCTCTTAATGGCAGTGGGATCCTCCCTTCTGCCTCTAGGAGGGCTCATTTTAAGCCTAGAAGAGTGATAAAACTAACCAATCCCCACATTAGGGTTCCATGTAACTTACTTACATTATGAACAAGTTATCCAATCCCCTGAGTGGGCCGCAATCACCTTACATTTTCATAGTTTCAGTCAGTCATCTGTTGGGAGTCACAAAGTCTGTGGTTAGAACAGCCATACCAAGTAATTCACTGCACCACACCAAGCCATGGTATTTTCAATTGCCTCATATGCATGTGGAAGCTGGAGAATGAATAAGGAAGACTGAAGAAGAATTGATACACTGGAATTGTGGTGTTAGCAAGGAGTATTGAAAACACCATGGAATGCCAGAAGAACAAAACAAATCTGTCTTGGAAGAAATACAGCCAGAAGCAAGAAGCAAGAATGGCCAGGTTTCATCTCACATACTTTGGTCATGTAGTCAGAACCCAATCCCTGGAGAAGGATATCATGAGTGGTAAAGTAGAGGGTCAGCACAAAAGGGGAAGACCCTCAATGAGATGGATTGGCACAATGGCTGCAACTTTGGTCTCAAGCATGGCAAGCATTGTGAGGATGGCACAGGACTGGGCAGTGTTTTGTTCTGTTGTACAAATGGTCACTATGAGTTGCAATCAACTTAATGTCACTTAACAACAACAACTATAATTGGGATTTTCCTTCCTTTATACCTTCTAGGAACTCTGATGATGCTGTGGTTAAACCAGTGGGCTGCTAACCAAAAGTTTGGCAGCTCAAACCCCCTAGCCGCTCCAGGGGAGAAAGACAAAGCAGTCTGCTTCCATAAAGATTTATGGCCTTGTTAAAAAAAAAAAAAAAAAAAATGAGTCTTGGAAACCCTATGAAACAGTTTCTACTCTGTCCTAAAGGGTTGCTATGAGTTGGAATCAACTAGAAGGCAATGGATTTTGGATATATATAAAATATTATCCCAAGATGTTTGTGAGAAAACCACCTCATCAGTAACAATTGTTGGCAGTGGCAGAGATTTTTACCAGGTTTGGGGCAGGTGGAAGGGAATACCTATCCTCTTTTTAAAACCATGTATTGAAATTTCAGCGGTAGGGATGTCTATAGGCTTCAAAAGCCCACAGTTCATTTTGATCAACTGCCTCCTGAAATCTTCATTACCTTATCATTTTAGGCTGCACAGTATATAGTTCCTTCCATTAGTCTAGTAAATAACATTTGAATAATGAGTATTTTTATGAGTGTTTATTACCAAATACTAAAATATAATGTAATGTATTATAAATTTATAAATTGAGGGGCGAGTGGTTCTTTATTTACACACACACACACACACCCCCGCATCAATTTTGTTTACAGAATGCAGGTGCACGGGCAGATTTAATCACATTTCTTTATTTTAAAAAGCATTACCTAAATTAAAAATATGACAGCAACATATAATGAAACTGCCTGAGAATGTGTAACTTGGCCTGAAGCTGTAAACATTTATACATTAGTGAGTGCTTAAATTGTGGTTTCTGGAGCAACCAAGTGCAATTTGGCAGAAAATTGAGGTAATGATGATACTTATTGATTGTATTACAAACAAGTATTTTCTTGAGAGAAAACAGAGCTGTTCTATAGAAGTTGTTGTTGTGTTGTTAGGTGCTGGCAAGTTGGCTCCAACTCATAGTGACCCCATATACAACAGAATGAGCAGAGACATGGATTATATTGGTCTTTGCTTAGAGGGCTCCCATTCTAAACTAAACCTGATATTAGGCCTAAGGGGATTGCATCATTTGAGTTAAAAACAAACAGATAAACACTGATAATTCTCATCCTCTAGTTATTTCTTTTTCCTTCACCCCCATTTGTTCTAGGAATTGTTGTTGTTGTTGTTATGTGCCATGAAGTCGGCCCTGACTCATAGTGACCCCTCCTTGGATTTCTGTCTAGGAATAGTGATGCAATATTTCATGGCTCTAGGCCAGGCTGTAAGCTTTTCTCTGCTTCATTCAATTCCTGGGGACTCAGGGATTCCCATCTGTCTTAGTTATCTAGTTTGTTAGTGCTGCTATAATGGAAATACCATAGATGGGTGACTCTAACAAACAGAAATTTATTTTCTCACAGTTTAGAGATTAGAAGTGCAAATTCAGGGCTGCAGCTCTAGGGGAAGGCTCTCTTTCTCTGTTGGCTCTGGGGGAAGTCCCTTGTCTTTCTTTAAGCTTCTATTCCTCGATTCCTTGGAGATGCTCACTCAGCATAGCATGTATCCTCCCCACTGTTTGTGCTTTCTTCTCTGCAGCCAATTTATTTTTATATCTCACAGGTGATTGGCTTAAAATATACTTTGTGCTGACATGGTCTCATTAAAATAATGAAGAAAGTCCTGTTCTCAAATGGGATTACATCCAGAGGTGTCGGTTTTAGGATTTACAGATTTACATATTTTGTAGGGTACAATTCAATCCATAGCACCAAGTCACCTGGGCAGCAAGACACTCCCAAGGGAACTCTCAGTGAGGTATGAGAAGCACAGTCTTGAGGCCTTGACCAAGTAGTTTCTGTATCTCAGCTGTCTGAATTCATTGTCAAAGGATTTTGGTTAAGAAATTGAGAGTTTTAAGACAAAATCAGATTTTTAAAATGAAAGGGTCCCTTCTAGAGTTAGTGGTTAATGGCTGTAAAATATATTTCAGTCCTTTCTGCAGTCTTCAATACAAAGTGGAAGAACTCCTCCCCATTCTGAGAGAGTATCCCATGATGTCCTCCTCCAACCTCAGCCTATGCGAAAACTACCTGGCAGTCAAGCGGCACGTCTGGAACTGATCACTGAAAACTTCTCTTCTGGTTCCCAGCAACCCTTTTCAACTCCACATGCAACTCACTCTTTGTGTCTCTGGACCCCTCAGGATCCAGATTTCCAAGTTAAAGAATCATAAAATGATTACATCTGGAAGAGACTTGGAAGCTATCTAGCACACAGTCTACCCTTGTGCAGGTAAGAAGAGTGAAGCCCTTGTGGGAAATGATTCCACTAAGACCACTCAAAAGTTGGAGCAGAGCTGTCATAAGCAGCCACATCTCTTGGTCTTTTCCCTGCCAAGGCTGCCTTCCTTCAGGTGACTGTGCTTTCACCTGCATTATGCAAATTCAGAGTTAAATTCCCTTCTAAGTCTCTAAAGTATTTAAATTGGGCATCAGGGACCTGTGGATACCCTATTCCCTGGCCTTCTTCAGTGGTAGCTGAGGCAGCAGGAGCCTGCAGCTCAGAATAAACATATTCCTCCATCAGCAGCCTTAGCATGATTAGGACCAAGAACTAAAAATAAAGAGCTGTGCTCTGACAATCCTATGACTCTATGAATATGAAAGCTTATTACTGTGCTTTTCGTGGTACGTTAAGTTGCATTCTATCTCACCAGCTGGACTGAGAGCTCCCAGAGGAAGGAACCACTTGTAACTCTCTAACAGCCTTCATACATTAGGAGCTCAATACGTATTGCAATAAAGCAACAAATGAGTTCAGTTTCAGAAGGCCTGGATCTGAATCTTGGATGAGCCATTTAGAGGGTGTCTAAACCTCGATTTCTGGATCTGGACAATGGGGAAAATATTTTCTGTCTTGGCAGCACTAGGACTAATAGCTAATGCTTCGCAAATGGTAGATGATGGTCACAGCACACTGGGAGTGCAGGAGCAGCAGGTTGTTCATTTCCCTGTCCTTGTGTCCCCTTGTCTCCCTAGGGTGCTATAGCTGCGGCATCATGCAGATATGGAGAATACGTGGAGGAAGAGTAGGGTGAAACAGGACCATAGACTAGTCCTTGCCTCCTAGAGACCTCTGGAAGTCTGGCTGAGCTTGGTCTGGGGTTGGACTTCCCACCTGTTTCCTTCATTTAATCAAGTGTCACTACCCAGCCCTGCTCCAAAGCCCAGCTCAGAGCCCTGGAACTCCCACTTGGGGCTTCCCTTCTCTTGGCACCCTGCCTGGCTCCATGGTAACAGGTTCCAGGGTGACAAAGGAGGGAGCTGGGTCCTATTTCCTCCTGGTCCTGTCGTTGAGGATTTCCAGACCGTGGAGCTTGAGCCCTGCACCTACCCATCTCTTTCTTTGTTCTCGCTCAGGTGGAGCTCCAGCTCCTATCCCTGACAGCCAGGATCATGAGTACTAGCCTAACCACTTGTGAGTGGAAGAAAGTCTTCTATGAGAAGATGGAGGTGGCAAAGCCGGCCGACAGCTGGGAGCTCATCATAGACCCCAACCTTAAGCCCAGTGAACTGGGCCCTGGCTGGAAGCAATATCTGGAGCAGCATGCCTCAGGCAGGTGAGAGGCCCAGTGAGGAAAGGACCTACAGATAGCCTCTGGGTCAAAGCCTTCGGGGCACTTTCCAAGGGGAGGCAGAGAGATATGTAGAGCCAGTCCTGGGGTCAGACTCACTCATGGGTCAGCTGAGGTGGGGGTAGAGCAGAGAAAGAACTGCCATGTGACTCAGGGAAGGCTTGGTTCTAAATTGGTTGCACAACTGACCCCCTAGGTGACCATGGACATGTTATTTATCATCTTTGGGTCTTTGTTTTTCTTATAAAATAAAGAGTTATAACATCTTCAATGGCCCTGAAGTATATGACATATTAAATGTTTTCAGATTTCCATAATCTTTTAAAGAAAGGTTGGAAAGTAGGAGAAGAGGCTCTGAGTTCTTCTGGGAAATCTTTTACTTAAGAGTCAAGAGGCTTGTGCTCTGGTCCTGGTCCCAGTCAGTCTAATTCAATCCAATTGGATTTGAATGCAAAGACATTTATTGACTATCTGTTATGTATGGAAGACTGGCTTTACAACTAACTAGCTCCGTGAACTTGAGCAAGTCTTTTTCCCTGTCTGGATCTCATTTTCACATTTGCATAGGAGTACACTGGCTTTCAATGATGAATTAAGTGCTTTCCAGCTCTATTTATCTATGTGTCTGTGATGAAAAGACAGCTTTGGGTAGAACTGCCATTAGGCTTTTAGAGCTCTTGCCTAGGTCTCTACACTGCAGAGGGACTGCAGGCCTCCTGTGGAGTGAAGAGTCCTTGAGGCAAAGGGGCCAGGTCCATTTGAAGCCACAAGCTTCTGCCTTTTCTAGACTACATTTGGGACAGAGACCACAGAATCACCCATCAAACCACCTCAAGCCTGTTTTCTGGGTCTGCAAAGGCCTTTTCCTTGGGTCCATCAAATCTAGGACATATTGTATTCTTAGGCCCCTGGGGAGGCCAAAAGGTAGCTATTTTCAGGGATTGTCAGCCATTGCAGCGTGTAGACAGTACTTGTACACACAAACTGTCTATGTGGAACATGTGTGTGGATGCCCCTCGTGGTATTGGGTGATGTGTGGGATGCCCCTCGTGGTATAGGATGATGCTGAACATGGGAAGAGAAGGAGACAGGCTGTATTAGGAGAGCTTACATTTGTACACTTGCTCCAAGATCTGCATATATTAGGGTGAACTTGTCTTTGTGAAGGGGGTATTGTTGGTTCAATTTAATTCCATTCAATTCAAGAAACTTCTGTTGGGTACCCATTGCATGCTAAGCCCTGGCTTTGCCTCTACGTACCTGTGTGTACATGGCAGTTCTCTTGGTTGCTCAGTGTCTCAGTTTCTTCTCAGTAAAATGAAGGACTAATTAGATGATTCTTAAGGCTCCCTTCTCTTACCTTCAGGTCTGATATTCTTAGGTTTAAGAACTGGGGGTCTGGCTTGAGGGAGGGGAACAAATCTGATAGAGATTGAAAGCATGAAGCTCCTGAGCTGACTGGTGGGAGCAGCGCAAAGGGCTGAAAACTCAGGAGCAGGGCTGAGGAGTGTAGGAGCCAAGTTCAAAGGACTCCTGGCTATTCTACTTCAGAACTCAGCTGGTCCTATTCCTGGCTGCTGACCTGTGGGTCCAGGCAAGACTGGAGAGCTTCCACCCTTGTGCTTATTCTGGGAACACATTCATTCTTCCTGTAGGTCTTCAGATATGTTAACCCTGGTACTGCGTAGCCTGACCCAGCATGAGTGGGGGGTGAGGTGGGGAAGGAAGTCTCCATCTGGCCCAGGAACAATCAAGCTACTCTGCCCTTTCAGCTGGGCCTTGAGCTATGCTGGGTATTTTTCTTTGCTTGAGTTGTCAATAGATTCCAGGGGTCAGAGCTAATTAGCTTTATCTCTATCTCATTGCTTGGGCTGCATGGCTCTTGGCAAACAGTAGATACTGAATGGTGTCTATTGGATAGAATTGAGTTCTTCAATAGAGGTTCTTTTGAACCACCATGAAATAGGCCCAGAGAGGGCCAGTGATGAGGACAGATTCAACCCAGTAGACATGCCACTATCTGTGAAGCCTATGTAACAGGGACATGGAAGAAGCTATCTCAGGGGTGGAAGGAACTGCTGTGGAGGAAATGATGCCCAGTCACTGGACAGGTGTAAGCACTGGGTAGGGAGGCTGAGGGGTAAGCCCCAGGCCTCCTCCATGTTTCCTGAGACAGGGACACTTGGGGCCCAGACTAGGCAAAACTTACCTGTGTATATACATATGTATGTGTGTGTGTACCTATGAGGGAAAGTGGAGCAGGGATCAGGTCCACTTTCATAGGTTCCATTGCAGGGTTGGCATGGGATCTAGGGCTAACTTTTCAGGAATAGGGGAATGTTCTCTTAGAGATGTGGAAACTAAGTTGGGTAGACCTCATTAGACAGGGACATCATCCGTTCAGTCATTCTTGGTGACTTACTGAGGGCTCAAAGTGTGTCAGGGTCTGTGCTTGGAACACTAGAGGCACCTTCTCTTCTCCCACAGCAGGAAGTAGACACAAGTGAGATAGTGCACATATCTCCTTTATCAGAGTTGCAGGAAGTCTGAGAGGGAAGGACCTCATTGGAGATAAACACCCTGCATTTCACAGAAAGAGAAGATGCAGTGTCCAGGGGTGAGTGCATTAGATTTGGAGGGTGCTTAGGCCCTTGGAAGGAGCACTAGTTGCACAGTGGGTAAAGCATTTGGCTACTAACCAAAATGCTTGTGGTTTGAGCCTACCAGCTGCTCCTCTGAAAAAGGTTAGGCTGCCTGCTTCCTTATTCTATGAAGATTTACAGCCTTGAAAATGCAATGGGGTTTGCTGTGAGTTAGAATCTATTGGATGGCAGTGGGTTTGGTTTTTTGCTTTGAGGGCCTTGGAGGAGTCAGAGGAGGAAGTCTCAGGTGGGCAGTGCACTGCTGGGTGCCAGATGGCTCTGGAATCAGGCTCCTGAGGATTCCACTCTAATCCCAGGGGTGCTCATCAGGAGGAGGCAGAGCCAGCAGGCCTAGGTGAGCTAAGGAACCCAAGGGGCCTTTATCTTGAGCCATAAGGCTCATTCCCTCCTTTCCCCTTTCACACCTTCTTCATCCTTCATTCTCCCCTTCCCTGAAGGTTCCACTGCTCCTGGTGCTGGCACACCTGGCAGTCGGCCCATGTGGTCATCCTCTTCCACATGCACTTGGACCGCACCAAGAGGATGGGTTCGGTGCGCATGCGTGTCTTCAAGCAGCTGTGCTACGAGTGTGGTACGGCACGTCTAGATGAGTCAAGCATGCTGGAGGAGAACATTGAGAACCTGGTGGACAACCTCATCACCAGCCTGCGGGAGCAGTGCTATGATGAGGATGGTGGTCAATACCGCATCAATGTGGCCAGCTGCCCAGACAGTGGTGAGCACCGCAACGAGTTCTGTGAGGCCTGCCAGGAGGGCATCGTGCACTGGAAGCCCAGCGAGAAGCTGCTGGAGGACGAGGCGACCACTGATGCCTCTAAGCTGAGAGCCCAGGGGGGCTGTAGTTACAACTTCTTTTCTCTTCGTTGGTGTGTCTTCTGGGCCTTGCTCTGTGTGCTCATTGTCTACCTGCAGGTCTCCTTCCACAGCTCTGCTATCCTTTAGTGGAGCTGGTTGGAGGTGGATGGAAGGGCACGTGGGGCTGGAAGTGAAGAGACGTAGGGTTGGGTCCTGACTCTGCTACTGATTCTATACAGTCATACCTCATTTTGTTGCTCTTCACTTTATTGCTCTCTGCAGGTTTTTTGTTTTTTTTTTTTAACAAATTGAAGGTTTGTGGCAATCCTGTGTCCAGCAAATCTATTAGAGCTTTTTAGCAACAACACATGCTCACTTTGTGTCTGTGTCATATTTTGGTATTCTCGCAATATTTCACACTTTTTCATAATGTTATTGCACACTTAATAAGACTGTAGCATAGTACAAACATAACTTTATATACACTGAGAAACCAAAAATTCATGTGACTCATGTTATTGCAATATTCACTTTATTGTGGTGGCCTGGAACTGAACCTGCAATACTTGTGGAGTATGCTTGCAGATGATCTAAAACAACTTAGTCACCTCTCTGGGCCTCTGTTTAATCCTCTGCAGAATGAGAGGTTTGCACTAGTAGATATCAGGTTTTACAGTAATTCAGGGAAAAAGAAGTTTAATGGAGGTTTTACAATTAGCCAGGTTTGGTGTTAGTACTAAACCCATGGACTTTTCCTTCACCTCCATTTCTATCCCTTCTTTTGTTTCATTTCCATATTCCACACTCCATCATGACCTCATTAAGCCCTGTCTTACCCCTGTCTCATTTTCAAGATCCTTTTCAGTTGCCTCTGACCAACCACCATCATTCCCTTTGGAGAGGGAAGTTACCTACCTAATGCATAGAGATGCCTTAATGTGGTTCACAGCCCCTGTGAAGATACAACTTTATCCTCTCTCGAGTCTGTGCCCACCATTCTTGGAGGTTCGGTTTTTACTCTGGTGCTAAGGTCCACTTGACTCAGTTGGCAGGAATTGTCTAGAGCTGCCCTGTCCAATATGGTAATCAATAGCTATATGTGGTTATTTAAATGAACTTAAACTTCAGAAGCTCAGTTTCTCTGGTGTACCAGCCACATTTAAAGTACTCCATAGCCACATGTGACTGGTGACTACCTGCGCTGCACACACAGGTTGCTTCAAAGGCAATATCCCAAGCAACCATAAGACTACTAAGATGAGGACTCTAACCCATAGCAATAATACCTCCATGGGTGCTATGTCCATCCAATTAAATTGAATTGTACACAAAAGACATACATAGCATTTGCTTTATTATTCACTGAAAGCAAATACCAGGAATAGAGTCATTGTGAGCCAGTCCCCTGAGCTCAGAAGGCTGTATGGGTGAGATGGATACTCTATGCATACCTCACATGGCACCACAGGAGAGGAATCTCAAAGTCCCATATTCACCTGGTTTTATAATCCAGGTGTCACATGAACTACTGAGCCAGGCACAGTTGTAGATTTTCCAGTCTGACAATCCAAGAAGTTTTAGGCCCTTTACAGTCAGACATAGAGACACCAGCCAGAGCTTTGCCACATTTTGTCTTGGAGCTCAAAGACACTAGCAGGAGGAGGAATGGGGAGAAATGTGGTCATTGGGCTGATCAAGGGCTTCTTTCATTACCTTATTGCACAGTGCACATATAGAATATTTCCATTATTACAAACCAGGACTGCACTGGTCTAGAGCTTGAAATTCCCATTTAAATGTACGTGAACGCATAAATAGCAGGTGGGCACAAATTCAAATGTGCAGCATGAAGCCTTATGGGGACAGGTGGGATGGGGTGGGGTGTGAGAGAGATAAACAAATAAACATATAACCTCTGTTCTCTTGACTGTCAGTTGATTGGAATCTTTTGCGTCTCAGTGTTGTTCAACCTTATTTCCTGAGGGGAGATGGAAAGTAGTTCTGGTCAACTGATGATGGGACAGGAAATAATAGATCAGAGGGTGTGGTGCCAATTACTTACAGCTCCTTCACAAAGTCCAGACAGCACACCTGCCACAGTTGTGTCCTGAAGGAGGTGCCAGGCTGAGACAGGAAAGTGTGTCCAAAATGGGTTGCCAAGGGAAAGAGAGATGAAGATAAGTGTTGGGAACCAAGGTGAGCTGCCAAGTGGGATTAATAGAACCAGAAAAATGGAGAAAAAGATGGGAGTTATTTCTGCATAGACATCATGCTATCTACATCCTCACTCTTCTCTTGGAGTATTGCCCTAGACCTGATTTATTTTTTTTTTTATTTTTTTTTATTTTATTAGGATTTGGGTGAAGATTTACAGAGTAAATTCACTTTTCATACAGCAGTTCACATATACTTTGTCTCATGTCATTG